CACGCGCGTGGTAACATCGGTGAAAGAACTGGGTACCATGTTTAAAAATAATTTGAGACAGGTTAACTTGAGAAGAAGGTCTATATGGGGGATTTTTCTCTCTTGCACAGCGCCATAATGACTGTGTCCCTCAGGAACGTTACCATGAGCTAGAATATTAAGTAATCAGAAGGAATCATGTATGGAGTTAGCTTCCAGAATATGAACTTCCTCCAAGCCAATCTGACCGCGGTGACTCCACATTCGATAACGGGCAATGTCTTTTCTTGTAACCATGCCGACAACCTGCAATAATACACAGCCGTATTAAAACAAAAATAATACACTGCAATACAGTAATAGTACAACCGACAACATTTAGGATATTCTCTGAGCATCTCTCTTAACCCATTTCCCTAAGACAATTATTTTAACAGGAAAACCATCATTCTGGAGTATATTATCCGGCCATCAGGTTAATTTTTTAATGCAAGGCGAAGAAAGAGAAAATAGAAACAAATATTTCGCAGGTTCCAAAAAATATTTTCATGTACTCCAAGAAATTTATAATTGAAAATGAGTCTCTCCACCTTCTCTCCAATAAGCTCGCTTCAAAAGATACTATTGAAAAGAAATGTCTCACGACTTAAAAAAACACCAGGGTGACCCTTCCTTAGCGAATAAGATAACTTTTGTTTGAAAAATATGGGACTGCTTCGCATTTTCTCCCTTGCCACGCTTTTTTGATTTGCAAAAATTGGAAACAAAACGATGTTAAGAAAACGTAACCATTCGAGAGTTCAAGACTGAACCACAAATAAACGACGGGCAGGTAAACTCGCGCAGCCATACAGCTCATTTCCAGGCCCACTCACTCACCTCGTTGTTTTCATTTATCGCAACAATGTGCCTAAGTCCCAGGGCCCTAAACAACCTGAAAGCCCGTAAAAGTGATGAATTCTGAAACACAAGCAAAATGGAAAGAATTAAAAACAGTTGCACCTAGGCATTGCATTCATTACGTAAGATTTGTCAGCTTAGGTTATGCCGCTAGAACTGCTATGGCTGCGCGCGAGAATTCAACATCGAGCAAAAACCAATCACAGACAGCCCTGTCACAGAGCGGTTTTCACCTGAGGATTGGAAGGTAATTGGTTTTGCTTTACTACGCTACACGACTGGCTTAAAAACCTCGCGCCACATTTTAATCCAATCAGAAGTAAAACCAAAACTATGACATACTCACACACGTTTTCCCGCGCTTTGCGTCAGTTACGTATGATTACTTCAAGTTTTGATTGGCTCACTGTATTGTCTGTGTCCTTTGTGATTGGCCAGATTGCTCACTTTGGTTTTGGTTTGACGACACTCAGTTGAAAACCACTCGACACAATGCACGAGTCTGAAGAATTTTCAGACCCCTCTCTTGAACGGGACAAGAAAAACTACCCGAAGAGAGACGACTCGTTACCCTGGTGATACATTCGCGTCGCTGCTGTAACTGGTCCCGACAACAGAAGAACATATCTTCTTCGATACTTATTGCAACGCCACATTTGCTCCGAGGGAAGTTTAGGATGCAATGACCTACCTCATTCACAGTATAAGGACTCGGGTTCATGAAAGGTCTAAGATCCATGTAGCATTCTCTTTCTTTCTGTGATATACTAACATTCTGGAAAAACAAAAAGTTGCAATTGAATAAAACTTAAAGACGAGCACTAAATTCAAACCAGTCTTCCATCATGTCTTCAACACTAGCAACGCGACCCACCTTTCACTAAATATTTTTTATACCAAGGGTTATGATAATTTAAAAAATATCAGAAATAATAGCATGGATAAGATTGAACATTTTTTTTGCCAGTCGACAGGGTTTGAGAACCTTGTCATTACAGTGCAACATTTCACAACAGTTTGAATGTTTGACAAGTTTGGAAGCCGATGTGTTTAGAAAGCAGGGACGGCCTCGCTTTCCAACAATTCTTTTTCATACATAATTTTACTGAAGGAAGATCATGTGTGCTTTAATAAGGTGGTTAAAGCGAACAACAACAACAACAAAACACTACGAGGATTAACCTCGCGCCAAGAGAGTATAACCATATTGTAAACAATACACTTGATCAAGTGGGCGGGTAATTCGTCATACATACCCTGATCGGAGGGAATCTTGGGTAGGCATCTCTGAAATCCTTTAGTTTCAATCCATGTCTTTTAAGTGGTATGTTATTTTCGGAGAATATCTGTTTGTACAAGTGAGAAAAACTCAGTGAAAGGATCACATCTCGAGGAAGAAAGGTGCAACTTCAATTGATATTTTAGTTTTAGAAAATTGAGACTGCAGCGCACGTCATTTTGGAGCGTGCGTTATGCGTGGCATTGCCATGCGCTCTTGCCTACTACAGCTAGCGTGGCAGGAAAACCTGGATTATCACTTGCGGTGTAGGTAAAGAAAGTACAGTTTGCGTCGGGCCAAGTGGTCCATACCACCCGAGCTTATCCCGGTTTCCGTAGCATGAAGCTAATAGGAGTATTTCTACCCCCCCCCCCTCCCCCTGGATGGGATGCTAGTCCATTCTCAGAGTTACCTCCAGCATGAAATTCGTCGTACCCATTAAGACAGGCTCTGTGAGAGTCTTGCCCAAGAACACAACACAATTTCCCCGGCCAGTGCTTAAACCAAGACCGCTCGATCCGGAGTCGAGCACATTAACCATGAGGCCATCGCAACTCCACCGTTGTAGGCCCGTAGGACAGCGGGAATTTTTAATGCAAGCACTTTGATTTGTTACTAAAGACTGAATAACTTATGCATATATTCTTTAAAAATATTAGCTCCTATCTTAACACGTTGCTTAGCTTACCAATTTTCCTTTGTTCCATAGGAACAATTAGTCTACATCTGGGGTCACTGAACAAACATATAACAATAACATTCCTGCAAATACTCACTTTTTGCTTCAGAAGAATAATAAGTTGAGATCTTAAGATTAAACCACGGAAAGTCCCAAATGTGGCCGGGTTGTTGGTGGGAGCGGCATCCTGAAACAATAACGCCAAAATAAACAGCCATCCATGTTCATACTGAATAAACGACGTACAAGAACAAGAGAAAACACTATACCTCTTCACCAGACGTGTCCAGATAATCTACCACAGGAAAACCATTGTGGTGTGAACTTTTGTCTTTTAACACATCAACTATTCGTCCAACCTGACAGAAGAAAATAATAAACTAACAGTCAAAACTATCTAAACACACACCCTTCCCTGATTGCTTCAAACGTAATTTCTTCACAACTAGTCAATCCGAAACCTTGTCCACTGTCCTTGGTCTCCTACGCAGGACGCTCTTCAGGCTCGTCACGCAATCTGGGTGGGCGAGGAAGATTGCGTGACGAACCCAAAGAGCGTTTGCTTAAGAGGCTATGTTGTCCTACAATATCGAGTTAGCGAGCTGAAATGGCCAGATAAATGGCCGAATTTGAGTATGATAAAATGATTACACCTTTTGTTAGAATACTTCAGTCGGCATATCTGGCTCGATTGTTTCCATCATGGGTACTTAGACATGACTTAATTTCACCAAAGTAAGAATTATAGCAAGACCAAACTCGCCTGACATACCGCCAAAGCGTACCAAAACGTTACTGTAAGGTACATATGCTAATCTGATTCGTGATTATCATCGCCAGCGGTCAACACGAAACAGTTACAATTTCAAATGAAAAAAACGTTATTCCCAGGGCTTCTCCCTTAGAAATTGGGGAAAAGCTCTGGTAAAGAGGTTGCCAATGATGGAAAGAGCAATAAAAGGGTGGGGACGGGCAGGGCGGTTGCTTTGAAAAGAACACGTAATAGACAATTGCGTTAGTTTAAAATACGTCAGTAATAGACCTTTTGCAAAAATGGCACCTAAGTTCGAATAACAATACTTTATACATCCTTAGGATCGTAGTGATGTTTCCACACAAAGGATTTTTCACATTAATGTGAGGCTCAGGACGTATAACTAAGGATTGTTACTCAAATTTTGGCGCTATTTATACAAAGGTCAATGAGAACTGTAAACTTAGATGAGAAACAGCTAGTGTGTAACAAAACGTATCTACGTATTTTAAAGGTATCTTGAAGGTATTTACCTTTTCGACTGATTTAAAACAAACCACCTTTCTACTCATAATATCACTGAAAAGAATAGCAGATAAATAGCGTTACTTTAGGGTGATCGATATGTAAATTTTCATGCCAGTATCCAACATTAACACGTAAAAAGATGATGAGAATAAAGAACTCATCAACTAGAGTAAGTACCACCACTAAGTTCTATTTTGTGACAAAGAACAAGGAGAACTTGATACTTATTTTTTTGAGTTTGCGTTACTTACGGTTTGAGAGTGGCCGAGTAGTAACTGGTTTGGTTTTACCACACTCGATCAAAAACCGCTCTAAACCGAAGTAAAACCAAAACCAAAACCTTACGTAATTGCCTGAGAACTTTCGACACTCAACTGAAAACCGCCCTGACAGCCAGGAGCTCATTCACATGCATCTATATTCTAGGCTTACCTAACGTTCATTCCGACAGCCATGACAGGCGCATCCCAGCCAAGTAAAGGAACACCTTGCAGTTTGATGTGAATATCGTACAAACCCTGAAAAAAGAAAGTTGAAAATTAAGAATCTCAGGAACAATACTCACTGTTTCCCTCAAGGCAAGTCAATAACTGTCTTTATTATATGGCCTGTGTTTGTAGCCGTAATGTCCATGGGCCGATTACGGGCTTGCAAAACCAAAGCAAAAAGCCATATGATAAACAACTTCTTAATCTCGGACATTCGGTCTTCACTTCACGGGAAAATCTCAAACCTCAGCCTTGTCGGCAAGGTCTCGGTTTGAGATTTTCCCATAAAGACCTCACTCTCGGTTAATAAGTAGTTAATTCTGACCTCGTTAAAGAAATCACCAACCCATTTGGCGATCATAAGAACGATCATGATAGGAATACCAAAGCTGATATTTCCAGTGGCTTCCATTAAAATAACGGTCAGACTGATGGTCATTCGGACAACACCGCCTACAAAGAAAAAAACAACACAATAAATATTTCAGTTCCAAAACTACAATACATTTAAAAACGACCATTTCGCTCCGAAAACGGATATGTTTTTCGTCCACACTAAGGGGACTGTGAGAGAGACCATATGACCATTTGACGTCGGCGTTTTCGAAAAGTTCCGTTTTCATCCGTCAACACTACATCACCTTGCCGGCTCCACTCGTCTCGTCCCCAGAGCTACTTGCCTCTTTTAGCTGGCGGGGCCTTACCACCAGAAAAAAAGGGTACGATAGCAATAGAGGCCTTTAGTTTGACACTGCGTTGCGATTCGAGAATAAGTAAAAGCTCTTTCCAAATGGTTTCACTTTCAGACAAAGACGAAACAAAAGCAAATGACAGTTTCTTGTCGTAACACCAAATCTCCACAGATGTATCCTTACCAAGAGTGGCCGCGGCTCCTATAAGAGCGTAGCTTCCAGGGTCTCCCCAGTGCCCCTTAGGAAACCACTTCCTCAAGGCCACCCCAAACAGTCGTCCTCAGGCTGCTCCGGTTAGAATGCACGGGACAAAAAGACCACTGGGTACGAATAAACCGTAAGTCCAAGTGGCCAATAAGAAATAGGCTGGAGCAAAACCAGCCAACGTGGCCACGTGATAAGAGGCTAAAGAGAAAAGAATTGAACGTATTTAGAAAACAGGGTACACAGAATGTCGAATAAAATCACGAAAATTGACTTGGTTTCACTTTAGTAAGTTCTTAGGTTTAAAAACCTGCGCCATATACTCAAAAAAAATCAGATTCCAAACCTAACCGCGACTTTGCGCCAATGTAATTGCTTTAGCATTTGTTTCACAACACTCTGTTGAAAACCAGTATAATCTGTCATTATTCATTGTTTTTCTATGACCAGCATGACAGGTATTCACTTGCCAGCTACTACAACACAACAGATTCTTTAGCATTTATCAATCATGTATCTAGAATGCAACATGCAGTCACTATTTTAGCGTGAGGTCAGAACATATGAAATTAATTTTCCAAGAAATAATCTGCTGTGACCAGGGAAACTACGTGCTGGGTTCCTTTGGCTTGTGAGGGTCAAGCAAACAGGGAAGATGTCTGAAAAAAGTGAAATACTGTTTTGCAATCTAATATGTACTTTATAAACTCTCTTACTCTCTGGTAAGTGAAAGAGGTTTTTAATAGACTCCTCTGGTGTGTTGAAGACCAAAGTCCCCATAGCACTGTACTGGCCATCCTCACAGAAAAACTACACACATAAGAAGGAGACAAAAATATCAGTTATGATTATTGAACACTCTTCATTCTATGTACTTATCGACTGAGTGGGAGGGCCGGCAGCAAGGTCCGTAAGTCCTGACCGAAGCCAAATATTTTCCCGTCTGGCCCTTCCACTCCGTCAATAAGTACATATTGTTAGATGACAGTGAATAATTAAAACATCACCATTCCCTTGGGCATTTAACACCTTTCAATCACAAATACATGTCAATCTGAATATCAAATCAAGTGTTCGCACTTCTCTAACAATGAAACAACACCTTATCTAGAGAACAACAGTGCAGCAGACCTGTAAGGGCCTTGAAATGTTTGCCGCTCCTATTGGTTTGCAGTCGTGGTAAGAGTAGATTAGTACAAATGCAACGGTAGCACTCATGACTGAAACTATGAGTGCTTCAACAACACGAACCCAGTTCTTTTTGACAAACCTGAAACAAAATCAAAAGGAAATCAACCATTCACTTAAAAGTTGCTAATTTGTCTATGGAAAGCAGCTAAGCACAAGTCAGCACAACACAGGTCTAAACTGGCTTGGAGAAATCCAAGCACAAGAGAATTTCCAAATATTACTCACATTCATACGATTACCTACACTAATTCCCCGGGGAGTGGGGGTACTCCCTTATATGGGCTATATAGGTATGTGCGGCCCCAAAGGGTAGGGTTTTTTAGCCGTTTTTGTCATAAATAGGGTATCAGTTTTGGCCATTTTGGTCTTAAATAGGGTATGGTTTTGGCTGCCTTAGTCTTGGATTGGGTATGCTTCTTGGAAGAAGATACTTTTTCATTATTATCAATAAGACCATCAACAAAAGCCCTTCATAACTGGATTTTAGGGCAACTGTGCCAGCAGCAAAAGTCATAAATATCGAATTTTTGGTCAGGTCATAAATAGGGTAGCAAAAATTGCAGATTTTTGGTCATAAATAGGGTAGGGGTTTTGGGAAGTGGGCTGCACACCCCCACCCAACTTTTCTGGGAGTACCCCCCCCCCGGGCCCCCCGGGACTAATTCGTACCTCATTCTAAATATGCACAGGTGGTGATTGATTGCATTGAAAAGAGCTCCAAGTAAGCCACCTGAAAAACATCAAACATGAAATATGAAATAACCATGATAAGAAATGGGCCACACATCCCTAACAATACAGGTATTAAGAATATTTCAGCCTGAAAAAGGTTCAAGTTGTCAGGAGGTCAAGTTATCAAATATTGACAAACATGGTTTGAGTTATTGAGGGCAAAATGATTTAGAAAATGACCTGAAGGGACACAAAAATTACTTCAAGTTAGCGGGAGGTTCAAGTTATTGAGGGTTTGTGTTACTGAGGGTAAGATTACAGTAAATAAATGATGGAAATACAGGGGAAATCGTTTTTGGTTTGAGTTAGCGAGGGTTTGAGTTATCAGGAATCAGTTGTACTCTGTTCCTCTAAATGAGCAGTCCTATAATTACATATCATCAAAGTTTATTACCTACTGTATTTGGAAAATTACTATTAATTCTCTTGTTAGTAAGTTATAGATTTTGTTACATAACTGCTCACCAATTATTGCCATCACACAAAACAAAGGAATCTCATAGCTTGAGTATGTCTGTCCCTAGAGAATAAAAATTAAAAATACCAAAAATTAAATGCAGTCTACTGCATATAAAGCAGACTGGCACTTCTACCATATAGAGCAAATTCAAGAAATTTTTAAAGCTGTTGTTAGTAAATAAAAGAAAATAATACATTTAGAAAGGGTTATTACACCACTACTAAAGTTAGTTAGACCAAAATCAAACAATCAGACTTCTCTATTACCATTTCAATAAAGAAAATGAAATGCACTAAATAATAAACATACATTTTCTACCATTTGTGTGCAGCTTATGGCCTGCAACTAACCTCAAATGTACCAAAGTTGATAAGTCCTGGGTTTGAAAGGTCCATAGGATCACCATTAAAAATGGACAACAGTACATTCAGCGTAAATGTGGAAACCATAGACGCAAAGAACATTCGCCATGTTAGACTCTGATTCCAAAAGCTTGCTCCTTCTTCCAAACTAAAGAGCACTCCACCTTGAACAAGGCATAAATATGTAATGACCAACCACTTATGTACAGTGCTAGTATTAAATAAAAATCAACACCATCTGTCATGCAGTCAAATCCATCCTAATGTCTCCCATGCCATTTATTATACAGCCAAGTAGAAGGCTGAAAAACCATTGCATATTCAGCAATACCCCAGAAAACTGTTAGTACTGTGGTTTCCTGCAGGTATTCATCTGGGAATCAAATCTTTGGATCTTACCACTCAAGCGTTCTTTAAAATTTTAAAATTACATTTTCAGAAATCCCATTCTGTCAGCTTGAAAAATTTGAAAGAAAGACTGATCATTGAGAAAATGATCAACTTACANAAATAAACAGCCATCCATGTTCATACTGAATAAACGACGTACAAGAACAAGAGAAAACACTATACCTCTTCACCAGACGTGTCCAGATAATCTACCACAGGAAAACCATTGTGGTGTGAACTTTTGTCTTTTAACACATCAACTATTCGTCCAACCTGACAGAAGATATAATAAACTAACAGTCAAAACTATCTAAACACACACCCTTCCCTGATTGCTTCAAACGTAATTTCTTCACAACTAGTCAATCCGAAACCTTGTCCACTGTCCTTGGTCTCCTACGCAGGACGCTCTTCAGGCTCGTCACGCAATCTGGGTGGGCGAGGAAGATTGCGTGACGAACCCAAAGAGCGTTTGCTTAAGAGGCTATGTTGTCCTACAATATCGAGTTAGCGAGCTGAAATGGCCAGATAAATGGCCGAATTTGAGTATGATAAAATGATTACACCTTTTGTTAGAATACTTCAGTCGGCATATCTGGCTCGATTGTTTCCATCATGGGTACTTAGACATGACTTAATTTCACCAAAGTAAGAATTATAGCAAGACCAAACTCGCCTGACATACCGCCAAAGCGTACCAAAACGTTACTGTAAGGTACATATGCTAATCTGATTCGTGATTATCATCGCCAGCGGTCAACACGAAACAGTTACAATTTCAAATGAAAAAAACGTTATTCCCAGGGCTTCTCCCTTAGAAATTGGGGAAAAGCTCTGGTAAAGAGGTTGCCAATGATGGAAAGAGCAATAAAAGGGTGGGGACGGGCAGGGCGGTTGCTTTGAAAAGAACACGTAATAGACAATTGCGTTAGTTTAAAATACGTCAGTAATAGACCTTTTGCAAAAATGGCACCTAAGTTCGAATAACAATACTTTATACATCCTTAGGATCGTAGTGATGTTTCCACACAAAGGATTTTTCACATTAATGTGAGGCTCAGGACGTATAACTAAGGATTGTTACTCAAATTTTGGCGCTATTTATACAAAGGTCAATGAGAACTGTAAACTTAGATGAGAAACAGCTAGTGTGTAACAAAACGTATCTACGTATTTTAAAGGTATCTTGAAGGTATTTACCTTTTCGACTGATTTAAAACAAACCACCTTTCTACTCATAATATCACTGAAAAGAATAGCAGATAAATAGCGTTACTTTAGGGTGATCGATATGTAAATTTTCATGCCAGTATCCAACATTAACACGTAAAAAGATGATGAGAATAAAGAACTCATCAACTAGAGTAAGTACCACCACTAAGTTCTATTTTGTGACAAAGAACAAGGAGAACTTGATACTTATTTTTTTGAGTTTGCGTTACTTACGGTTTGAGAGTGGCCGAGTAGTAACTGGTTTGGTTTTACCACACTCGATCAAAAACCGCTCTAAACCGAAGTAAAACCAAAACCAAAACCTTACGTAATTGCCTGAGAACTTTCGACACTCAACTGAAAACCGCCCTGACAGCCAGGAGCTCATTCACATGCATCTATATTCTAGGCTTACCTAACGTTCATTCCGACAGCCATGACAGGCGCATCCCAGCCAAGTAAAGGAACACCTTGCAGTTTGATGTGAATATCGTACAAACCCTGAAAAAAGAAAGTTGAAAATTAAGAATCTCAGGAACAATACTCACTGTTTCCCTCAAGGCAAGTCAATAACTGTCTTTATTATATGGCCTGTGTTTGTAGCCGTAATGTCCATGGGCCGATTACGGGCTTGCAAAACCAAAGCAAAAAGCCATATGATAAACAACTTCTTAATCTCGGACATTCGGTCTTCACTTCACGGGAAAATCTCAAACCTCAGCCTTGTCGGCAAGGTCTCGGTTTGAGATTTTCCCATAAAGACCTCACTCTCGGTTAATAAGTAGTTAATTCTGACCTCGTTAAAGAAATCACCAACCCATTTGGCGATCATAAGAACGATCATGATAGGAATACCAAAGCTGATATTTCCAGTGGCTTCCATTAAAATAACGGTCAGACTGATGGTCATTCGGACAACACCGCCTACAAAGAAAAAAACAACACAATAAATATTTCAGTTCCAAAACTACAATACATTTAAAAACGACCATTTCGCTCCGAAAACGGATATGTTTTTCGTCCACACTAAGGGGACTGTGAGAGAGACCATATGACCATTTGACGTCGGCGTTTTCGAAAAGTTCCGTTTTCATCCGTCAACACTACATCACCTTGCCGGCTCCACTCGTCTCGTCCCCAGAGCTACTTGCCTCTTTTAGCTGGCGGGGCCTTACCACCAGAAAAAAAGGGTACGATAGCAATAGAGGCCTTTAGTTTGACACTGCGTTGCGATTCGAGAATAAGTAAAAGCTCTTTCCAAATGGTTTCACTTTCAGACAAAGACGAAACAAAAGCAAATGACAGTTTCTTGTCGTAACACCAAATCTCCACAGATGTATCCTTACCAAGAGTGGCCGCGGCTCCTATAAGAGCGTAGCTTCCAGGGTCTCCCCAGTGCCCCCTAGGAAACCACTTCCTCAAGGCCACCCCAAACAGTCGTCCCCAGGCTGCTCCGGTTAGAATGCACGGGACAAAAAGACCACTGGGTACGAATAAACCGTAAGTCCAAGTGGCCAATAAGAAATAGGCTGGAGCAAAACCAGCCAACGTGGCCACGTGATAAGAGGCTAAAGAGAAAAGAATTGAACGTATTTAGAAAACAGGGTACACAGAATGTCGAATAAAATCACGAAAATTGACTTGGTTTCACTTTAGTAAGTTCTTAGGTTTAAAAACCTGCGCCATATACTCAAAAAAAATCAGATTCCAAACCTAACCGCGACTTTGCGCCAATGTAATTGCTTTAGCATTTGTTTCACAACACTCTGTTGAAAACCAGTATAATCTGTCATTATTCATTGTTTTTCTATGACCAGCATGACAGGTATTCACTTGCCAGCTACTACAACACAACAGATTCTTTAGCATTTATCAATCATGTATCTAGAATGCAACATGCAGTCACTATTTTAGCGTGAGGTCAGAACATATGAAATTAATTTTCCAAGAAATAATCTGCTGTGACCAGGGAAACTACGTGCTGGGTTCCTTTGGCTTGTGAGGGTCAAGCAAACAGGGAAGATGTCTGAAAAAAGTGAAATACTGTTTTGCAATCTAATATGTACTTTATAAACTCTCTTACTCTCTGGTAAGTGAAAGAGGTTTTTAATAGACTCCTCTGGTGTGTTGAAGACCAAAGTCCCCATAGCACTGTACTGGCCATCCTCACAGAAAAACTACACACATAAGAAGGAGACAAAAATATCAGTTATGATTATTGAACACTCTTCATTCTATGTACTTATCGACTGAGTGGGAGGGCCGGCAGCAAGGTCCGTAAGTCCTGACCGAAGCCAAATATTTTCCCGTCTGGCCCTTCCACTCCGTCAATAAGTACATATTGTTAGATGACAGTGAATAATTAAAACATCACCATTCCCTTGGGCATTTAACACCTTTCAATCACAAATACATGTCAATCTGAATATCAAATCAAGTGTTCGCACTTCTCTAACAATGAAACAACACCTTATCTAGAGAACAACAGTGCAGCAGACCTGTAAGGGCCTTGAAATGTTTGCCGCTCCTATTGGTTTGCAGTCGTGGTAAGAGTAGATTAGTACAAATGCAACGGTAGCACTCATGACTGAAACTATGAGTGCTTCAACAACACGAACCCAGTTCTTTTTGACAAACCTGAAACAAAATCAAAAGGAAATCAACCATTCACTTAAAAGTTGCTAATTTGTCTATGGAAAGCAGCTAAGCACAAGTCAGCACAACACAGGTCTAAACTGGCTTGGAGAAATCCAAGCACAAGAGAATTTCCAAATATTACTCACATTCATACGATTACCTACACTAATTCCCCGGGGAGTGGGGGTACTCCCTTATATGGGCTATATAGGTATGTGCGGCCCCAAAGGGTAGGGTTTTTTAGCCGTTTTTGTCATAAATAGGGTATCAGTTTTGGCCATTTTGGTCTTAAATAGGGTATGGTTTTGGCTGCCTTAGTCTTGGATTGGGTATGCTTCTTGGAAGAAGATACTTTTTCATTATTATCAATAAGACCATCAACAAAAGCCCTTCATAACTGGATTTTAGGGCAACTGTGCCAGCAGCAAAAGTCATAAATATCGAATTTTTGGTCAGGTCATAAATAGGGTAGCAAAAATTGCAGATTTTTGGTCATAAATAGGGTAGGGGTTTTGGGAAGTGGGCTGCACACCCCCACCCAACTTTTCTGGGAGTACCCCCCCCCCGGGCCCCCCGGGACTAATTCGTACCTCATTCTAAATATGCACAGGTGGTGATTGATTGCATTGAAAAGAGCTCCAAGTAAGCCACCTGAAAAACATCAAACATGAAATATGAAATAACCATGATAAGAAATGGGCCACACATCCCTAACAATACAGGTATTAAGAATATTTCAGCCTGAAAAAGGTTCAAGTTGTCAGGAGGTCAAGTTATCAAATATTGACAAACATGGTTTGAGTTATTGAGGGCAAAATGATTTAGAAAATGACCTGAAGGGACACAAAAATTACTTCAAGTTAGCGGGAGGTTCAAGTTATTGAGGGTTTGTGTTACTGAGGGTAAGATTACAGTAAATAAATGATGGAAATACAGGGGAAATCGTTTTTGGTTTGAGTTAGCGAGGGTTTGAGTTATCAGGAATCAGTTGTACTCTGTTCCTCTAAATGAGCAGTCCTATAATTACATATCATCAAAGTTTATTACCTACTGTATTTGGAAAATTACTATTAATTCTCTTGTTAGTAAGTTATAGATTTTGTTACATAACTGCTCACCAATTATTGCCATCACACAAAACAAAGGAATCTCATAGCTTGAGTATGTCTGTCCCTAGAGAATAAAAATTAAAAATACCAAAAATTAAATGCAGTCTACTGCATATAAAGCAGACTGGCACTTCTACCATATAGAGCAAATTCAAGAAATTTTTAAAGCTGTTGTTAGTAAATAAAAGAAAATAATACATTTAGAAAGGGTTATTACACCACTACTAAAGTTAGTTAGACCAAAATCAAACAATCAGACTTCTCTATTACCATTTCAATAAAGAAAATGAAATGCACTAAATAATAAACATACATTTTCTACCATTTGTGTGCAGCTTATGGCCTGCAACTAACCTCAAATGTACCAAAGTTGATAAGTCCTGGGTTTGAAAGGTCCATAGGATCACCATTAAAAATGGACAACAGTACATTCAGCGTAAATGTGGAAACCATAGACGCAAAGAACATTCGCCATGTTAGACTCTGATTCCAAAAGCTTGCTCCTTCTTCCAAACTAAAGAGCACTCCACCTTGAACAAGGCATAAATATGTAATGACCAACCACTTATGTACAGTGCTAGTATTAAATAAAAATCAACACCATCTGTCATGCAGTCAAATCCATCCTAATGTCTCCCATGCCATTTATTATACAGCCAAGTAGAAGGCTGAAAAACCATTGCATATTCAGCAATACCCCAGAAAACTGTTAGTACTGTGGTTTCCTGCAGGTATTCATCTGGGAATCAAATCTTTGGATCTTACCACTCAAGCGTTCTTTAAAATTTTAAAATTACATTTTCAGAAATCCCATTCTGTCAGCTTGAAAAATTTGAAAGAAAGACTGATCATTGAGAAAATGATCAACTTACACGTAAATTTGTAACAATCACTCACCAATGGGGGCTCCAAATGCTGCTGATACCCTAGCTGCCCCAGCCAAGAAAGACTGATCATTGAGAAAATGACCAACTTACATGTAAATTTGTAACTAATCACTCACCAATGGGGGCTCCAAATGTTACTGATACCCCAGCTGCCCCAGCCAAGAAAGACTGATCATCGAGAAAATGATCAACTTACATGTAAATTTGTAACAAATCACTCACCAATGGGGGCTCCAAATGTTACTGATACCCCAGCTGCCCCAGCCAAGAAAGACTGATCATCGAGAAAATGATCAACTTACATGTAAATTTGTAACAAATCACTCACCAATGGGGGCTCCAAATGCTGCTGATACCCCAGCTGCTGCTCCTCCAGAAACAAAATCTCTTTTTTCATGATCTTCACGAAAGTACTCAAATAATTTGAAGTCTTTGTTGAATGTTGTAGATCTCCCTTGCGAGATACCTGCTGCAACTACAGCTCCAGCATGAATCATGGGGCCTTCTTTACCACAAGCTAGGCCGCCAGCAACTGAAAATATTACACCAACTACTTTGCAAATCAAGGTCTGGTGAAAAGAAAAGCCATTTGGTTAGTTATAAGTAACAGGGCACCCATTTCTATACATTTTCCATGTCAGCACTTTTGGCTGGCCGCAGCACACCCATCTCACAGTTAATACATTTGCAAGTTGTTCACATGTCACAAGGAACCCTGTCACACCACAGAAATTATAGTATCAAATTGCATAAAAAGAAATGGATGGTTACATAACACTCAATCCAGCCATTTTCCTTGCAGGAAACCCAGTGATTTCCCTGGCCAAGGAATCCGAGATCAAGGTCAAATTGGGAGGCTTTTATGAATTTTAGGTCACTATTTGAGAATGTGAATATATAATGTTTCCACAACTTTTTCTCTCTGAGTACATACTCTCTAATCAGCCATAACAATAAAAATACAAACTTGGGAAACACCCAGGGCTTCAACCATTAACATCTGAACATTGAATTTAAATACAAATAAAACGAAATAGATCATCAGACTAATCTCTGTTTACTTAATACTTTAAAATACTGTTAGTAACAATAATTAGTAGTTCCCTGTTAATTTACTACAAGTATAATATTATTGCACACAAATCTCTATGTATTCTAGCCTTTTCCAGGCATTCAATTACCGGTAGTTGGGGTGCAGCATGAAAAAATAGGGGAGAAGTGCGGCAAGAGAAAGCAAAAGAACGCCTATGGGCAAACTTAATAAAAGGTCCTTCTGCCCACTTATAGACTGCCTACAAGGACCCATAACAAGACCGCCAGCTTGTGGTTTTCAGTTGTCAACAAATGTGATAATTCTCCGGGATGTAGATAGAAAATCGCTGAAAGCTCCAAAACAACACAGCCATATTGCATTTCTCCTCTGTGTCAGTAATGCGCGAGTGTTCACAAAACCTGTCAAAATTGACCAATCAGAGGGTATGCCAGATCCTGGTACATACCGTAATGACCTTTCTTTAAGTTTGCCCACAAGCATTCTTTCACTTTCTCTCACCGCGCTTCTCCACTGTTTTTTCGCTTACTGTTTTTTCCCGCTGCGCCCCAACTAACTGAATGCCTGGAAGAATTTGAAGCTACATGTACATGCATTCAGTTTGTTTACCTTCACTCTGACAACATGTGGCACTTTTACTCCATTGAGGTAACATTTGATCTGCGGAATACCACTCCCAGCAGCTACAGGCTAAACCAAGAAAGATGTCACTTTGTAATGTGATTCAGAAGAAGACCTAACATGGTTACTGTACACATACTTTGATAATACATGTATCCATATAATATCTAAACACAGTCGATATATATATTTTCTTCATACAATATCCTGTATGTTGTCAAGCAAGATGAGTGAGAAGAAAAGAGGAGATTACCAACTGAGAGATTTTACACGTAATATTAATAATTATCTAATGATAACTTTCAAATATTATTCCACAAGCTCATGCTGGATGTACATAGCATGATAGATAACCAACTTTGCTGTATAAAATAATCAACCTCGATCCAACAATCATCATGGAAAACTGTTTTTCATTGTTTAAAACAAGCATGCACCTGATTGGTAGAGGCACGGTGCCCTCATGGTTAGTGTGCTCGACTTTAGATCGAGCAGTCTTTGTTTGGGCCCTGGCCGGGGACATTGCCTTACCGTTCTTGGGCAACACACTTTACTCGCACCATGCCTCTCTCCACCCAGGTGTACAAATGGATACCGGCAAATTCAATGCTGGGTAACCCTGCAATGGACTAGAATCCTATCCAGGGGGAAGTAGAAATATTCCTAGTCCCTTCATGTTACAGAGACGTGGATACTGTAAGCTCTGGCCTGATGGGCCACTTGGCTTGTATGTAGACTTTTATGAACCTGATTTGTTGTTGCAAAACAAGAAACCCAGAAGATGCTGGCTTGAGATTAACTTGCACTGACTCATTCCACCCAGTCAAGTTACTGAAAATCAGTGAATCAATTACTGCTGCTCAACAGAATGATACGATTTGGAACATTGGCCGCAATTACCTTACCCTTCTTTAACAATGTACAATAAATCAAGGAAGTCTAAGATAGACTGTAAATTCTGTTAAAATAACCACTTCCATTATTTTTATTACCTCTCCATAGACAACCAGCACAGCTGCAATGAGAACAAACAAAACATCGAGAGCAACCCATAAGGAGAAGGGTGCGGACATGCAGTCCCCACTGGTGCATAAGTCGATATCTGTCATTTGGTCAAGAACTCTTTAAATGATCAGAAGCGTCAGAACAGGCAATTAGGTACATTAAAAATAAAGAACTATCCCGCCTTATATCCACCATTAGTGTAATATTATTTTGAGTCATAAGAAGTGTTTTGTCATACTGCATTACACAGTCCGGAATATCCCAATATATTAGGACATCTGTGATGTCACGAAACTCACGTTTCAACCAATGAGAATGCGTATTTTGGTTGGAGTGTTGCATACCTGCCAACCCCCAGAGTACAAAAACCTGGAGACGGCTAGAAATCTTTGCATTGTAAGAATATAATTTTCTTTAGGTACTCTAGACCTTGAATTTGCCTCTTGGCAGAATGCAGGACCTGAAACAAATCACAAGCACTTAGAAAATTATTACGTTGCTTACAGATGTCACTATTATTACAAATGTATTTTTCGTTTTAAAATATGAATTTATTTTGAATGTAGTTACCACATTAGTCTCACTAAATAAGAGAGTGCCCTCAAGTGGTCNCGACTCACTACAAATGTACCTGCTCTCGATCCGCGTAGCGCTTTAATCGCCTGTACTAACACGACAATATGAATAAGTAAGCATTTTCTTATGAATGGGATACTTGTATCGGCGCGAACAACGAGCGGCTAATGTGATGCTTCGTTGATTTCATTGTCCAGCAAAACAAAAGGTTTCTTTTGTTTCGTGTTCGACAAAAAGATGCTGCTAGGAAAAGTGCCTTTTTTTGCATACGTTATTTCTCAAAAACGAAGAGCAACCCAGCGAAAAAAAAATACAGGGCAATACTTTCAGCTGAAATGAAGTCCACATGCAAAATTTCAGCTAATTTGGAGCAAAAAAAAAAAAAACAACCAAAATCGTCACTTATCCCCTTTTATGACTAGCTTCTTCAAATGGTAGCTGCATGATCACATCAGATGGTAAGCAATTTCATGTAAAACTAGCTTCACAGATAAGGACAATGAAAATATAGTTTCAAGAACAGTTTCCATTCAAAACATCAAACTTAAACAGTACTATTGCCTGATTTTAAAACATCAGCCTTAAATTAACATAAGTACAGGAATTTAATGTTTGTGCAAAGATCAAGAAAAAAGGATACATTTTTTAATAAGAGTATATTTCTTGTCAGCTAAAAGTATGATTAACATGTCAATAGTAAAGGCGATAAGTCCAGTAACAAAGCCAATGACAAACATGACGACCCATCTGTTGATGTTGATACGAAGTCTTTCCTGAAAAAAAACACACACACGCTTAAAATACAAGATGCATGGTGTTACTTTTGATGCTATTCCTCAAAATGTTATGCTCCCTCTAACACGTAGACGCTACCAGCTAACTAGGGCACCAGTATAAAGGTTTCAATGAGGACACTGAACATCTGAAAATTGAACAGCCATGTGGAATATTTGCTTGCTTGGTTTGACCATCTAGAGGAACTTTTTTCTTACAATACAGATGTTCAGTTCAAGATGTTTTGTCTGGAGGTGGTGAGGGGGGGGGGGGGAA